GGTGGTTACTGTCGACTACAATATGAAACTCGTTGTTGAAACTGATGCGTCCGACATCGCTATTGGTGCATCCCTGAGCCAGGGTAGCCGGCCGGTCGCCTTTTTCTCCAGAACCTTGACTGCAAGCGAGAGAAATCATTCTGCTGTTGAAAAAGAAGCATATGCTATAGGCGAAGCGATCCACAAATGGCGCCACTATCTCCTCGGGAGACATTTTAAATTGATTACGGATCAGCGTTCGGTCGCCTTTATGTATGGGAACCAACAGAAAAGTAAAATAAAGAACGACAAGATTGAATGGTGGGAAATCGAGTTGGTAGGGTATAACTACGACGCCGTCTATAGACCTCGAACAGATAATCGCGTTGCTGATACCCTATCTCGTAACCTTTGTGCCAACATTGCTGGGACGGAAAAACTTGAAGAGCTTCACAACATATTATGCCATCACGGGGTCACGAGATTTGCACATTTTGTTCGTTCTAAGAACCTTCCTTTTTCAGTCAGCGATATCCGACGTGTGGTGTCCAACTGTTCCACATGCTCCGAGCTCAAACCAAAATTTTGTGACACTTTTCGTGGCCAGCTTATCAAAGCCACACAACCGTTCGAACGCCTTAGTATCGACTTTAAAGGCCCACTTCCCTCAAACACTCGTAATAAGTACCTCTTAACAATCATTGACGAGTATTCTCGATTCCCTTTTGCTTATCCGTGCGCCGATACATCCTCTTCCACTGTAATTCGTTGTTTGAGTCAACTGTTGTCAGCGTTTGGTATGCCTGCTTATATTCACTCAGATCGCGGTTCTGCATTCATATCAACTGAACTCAAACAATTTTTGTTCAATAAAGGCATTGCCAGTAGTCATACCGCTGCATATACTCCACAATGTAATGGTCAGGTTGAACGACTTAATGGGGGGCGAGATGGCCCAAGTGGTAAGAGCGCGAATTTACTGACTGGAAGGTCCGTGGTTCGAATCCGACCTCCGCCTCTCGAATTTCCCTGTCTAGGCTTGGGCAACCTGGCAGTACCCCAGCCCTCGTGCTTCCTTCAGGTGGCATGGCAGCTAGGCACCGAAAGGGGGCTACAGCTGAATGATTTTTTTCTACGACTTAATGGTACCCTTTGGAAGACCATCTGCCTGGCTCTAAAGTCACGAGGCTCGCCTGTCACACATTGGGAGGTTGTCCTCCTTGATGCCCTTCATTGTATCAGATCCCTGTTATGTACTAGTATCAACTGTACCCCACACAAACGTTTCATGCCGTTTACACGACGAACAGCCTCCCTACCTACCTGGCTTACTGGCCCTGGGCCAATCNCAGGGGCTAGGGGAGTCAGGAACCAAACAAGCAGCGAATAAGGCGGCTATGCCGATAGAAATACACCGGGACAGGTGTGATTTACTGGCAGAATGCCAGATAATGATCCAATAGTGGTGGTGAATGGTATCCCCCAATCCAAATAAAACTGACTGCATAATAGGGAAGGAAGTCATGGAACCTAAATAACAGGACTTGAGAGGTATGTTAGTCCAGCAGATAACTCAGGAAAGAGACAATGCATGCGTGAATTACCGACGGGTTGTAGGCACCATACACCAGCTTAATGGGGGAACCAGAAAGATTGAAATTACCTGAATATCATCCATACCACCCGGACCCAGAGTAAGCGAACGCAGATTGGCCTGCATCAGTTCCGCGTGGCGAGCGCAGACCACTTTACCCGAAGCATCCATAGACATGGCCGGTTCATCTCGCCCAAGTGAAATAACAATGGTGCCCTCGTCGTAACCGATCGCGACAGTCTGCTTGCCACGGTAACAAGCCATTGCCCAAATGCGCTCCAGACCATAGTTTAAAGTGGATTCAAGACGATAGGTGCCCGAGTGCCAGACACGAACAGTACCGTCCTCCGAACCAGTCAGAATAATCGGGAGCTCTGGATGAAAGGCGACCGCACTGTGAAAATAAGAACAAGTGACCAGTGAAGCAAATGATAAGGTGGAAGAAATGGTGCAATTCAAGGTCTGATGGACGAATTCCATCCAGCTGATCGTATGAGGTCATATGAGACTATGAGGATGGTTTTAAACATCACTATCCATGACTGATCGAATACTCAGCTAACAGAGCTCATCAACACCAGCATTAGGCGACCGGCCAGTAGCGACCAGTCTGACGGCCGTACAGATGGAAAGAATGGTAACGCGATTACCAATGAAAAATAGAATAGTCTCAGAATCTTGCGGGAACCGAAGGCAATGAAGGTACCTGTGAAATGTGCTGGAAGGTACGCTCATACATTAACAAAGGACTAAGCACCGACGATGCGTAAAACGGTTTTCGGTCCGACCCGTCAGAACAAGCTCATCCGAGAAATAACTAGGTTGTTTGAACCAATCTGTGAGCAAGAACGCGCATCAGGCAGGTGGAACAATCAATCATCATACTTCTATCTGAAAAGCAACTGTTCCAACCACAAAGGTATCAACCCGATGCGTCATAATGCGACAACTGTCTGAAATAATAGTTCGATCGGCACATGAGACACGATCCCTGGAACAACAAGTAGGGTTTCGCCTGGTTAGCGGATGTGTTGATCACATATTCTGATAGCTCAGTGGTCAAAGCGCCAGCTTAGTGACCGGAAGATCCGCGGTTCGAAGCCAATCTCAGCATCTCGACCGCTCCTATGTAAGCTTGGACGACCTGGAAATATCCGAGCCCTCGTGCATTCTTCCGTTGGCATGACCGCTAGGCACCCATAGGGTGCTACGGTTGGATGGTTTTTCTCTTCACATTATGTAGAATACTTGAGCAATCCCATAGACACGAGTGGCCGCACTTTCAATAGAGGCTTTGACCCCGCAGATGGACCAGTCCTTCTACATATCCTGGGACAAGAAGGAAGGCCCCTAAAGTTTGGAAATACGCTCCGTGCGCTTCATCCTCAAGCTTCCGGACATTTAAAACTTTACACCGAAATGTTCGGAAGTTTTCTTGCAACCGGTGGGGCTCGACAAAGTTATGTTGCCTCTCTCTGCCTCTGCTGTCGAGGACGCTGAAACCAGCTTGCTGATGGCACCTTGATTCGACATGATGGTAGGATGCATCTATTTTAATGCTATCCAAAGGTGTAGAGAGCATTCCCTTGAGGGGACGAAACCTCGTTCTTTACTCGTGGTTGTATGGTCACCAACCTATTGTTGCAATTGGTGATGATTATGACTGGTTTCAACTCCGAACTCTTGTTGGCAAAAGGCACACGGGGGGACAGGCCAACTTAGCAACGCGAAATGAAGGCGTCCAAAATCCAACTCAGTACTATGGGATCTTCACATCCTCCTGGCTATCAACCGTATAATTTTCCTCACACGTGGTTGGAAACTCTACAGGACATGGCACATAACCGGCCCGAGTGGCAAGCATGCTGTCAATTCCTAGTGAACCGTCCAGCTGAAGTTAGCCCGTCGTTGTGTACTGGGCTCTTGGTGAGTGGAATTCACAAAGGACATCGGGTCAATCCAACTGATGGCATCGCACTTTGGTAAGATACTCAGGTGCTTCTATCGCGTCGTTCTTCCAAGATGTAAGTGGCCTGTTGTTGATGGTAGTTTATCAGGATCCATCTCCTAAATGGAGTTATACAAACTGAATTTAAAAATTTGCATTTTAACCCGAAAAGTGAAAACTCATCCAAACGTAATAACGGCCTTGGTACCAAATTGCCATTCTGAAGAAATCTATCAACTACCAACTTGCACACTAACTGTTGGTTTATTATATCCACAGATGGGAATTAATTGAAGTAAGGTGATTCCAAGGAGATCGCTACGAGGTGGGAGGGTTTTCAATCACTTGGGAGGGACCTCTATTAGACCAAATCGCATCCGGTGTCGTGGTTGACGGGAGCATTGCTAAGAATATTCCAGGGAGTCTTCCTGAGGATACTCTAGATGTGCACTGGAGATCACGGCTTCGAAGCGAAAGCAGCACTGGTTAGCTCGAGAAAGATCAGCCATTATGGAACGAATTTACTGACCGAGGGATCCACCGTCCGAACCCAAACTCAGCATCTCGACTGCTCATGGCAACCTGACAGTATCGGCTTTTTTATTGGCATGGCAGCTATGCACCGAGAGTATCACAGCAGGATGCTTTTATCTGACCTAAAGCTGTTATCTTGTCGTGGTGGTCGGGCTTCTGTTCTGCAATGAGCCTGCAGGCTATACTGCCGGAACTCAGTTCCCCAAGGTTCAACCATGCCAGAAGGGCCAACTGGGAGCAGTCCGAAGAAGAAAAAAGCGAGTCTTGGTGCTGCGAGGAATCGTATTACGAGGCGTATCATTCAATACGGTCGAAATACTTTTAAAACCTAAGAGTCAGGCGCTGCTCAAAAGGCTCCTGCTTCGTGCAGTTGCACTATGAGTGAGACAGTAATACCTTACTTGCTGCGTCCTCGGGACAGGCTGGCTGGTCTCTGCAGTCAAGTGGGTCGGATTGTTGAGCCGTTGTCCCGTGGATGGGTCCTCCAGGAAAACCCTAACCGTCGTCTCGCGATCCAGACTTCTGGTCCGCGAACAAAACCCTACATTGTCCCACTACCTTAAGCTTTTGAGTCAACGGCTTGAGATGGTGTACCTAAATCAAGCTCCCTCAACCGCCTTGAGCAACCGAGAAGTTTTAGTCGCTCTTGCAGCTCTTTGATCACTCGCCCTCCCACACACCCATCGAATGTTGTGCGATGCTGCTGCTATTCCCATAGCCATTGTTCCGTATCTAAATTATTAACTGGAGAAGTAAACCAAAATAATTTCCTACTAACCTAAAATGGTCTGATGCACGTTGCAGCCTTCAATGTCCGCACTCTATGTCAAATTGAGCAACAGGTATCTCTTGCTGAAACCTGTCGATGTATGGTGTCTCCGAAACACACATGTAAGACCCCACTTCTGCCGTGTACCTCAAGCCGCTTAGGACGAGCCCAGATGTCCCACGTTTCACTCTTCGGGCATCCGGTGATCCTGACGCAATGGCTCGTGGTATCTACGGTGCGGGAGTTGCACTCAGCCCCAAGGCTGAAAGCGCTTTAATGGAATGGATCCCAGTAAACGGTCGTCTTTGAGCTATGTGGTTGCCTGTCGCGAGTGTTGCGGTCCAGCAGGAAGAACGGATATAATAGTCCTGGCGGGTGATATGAATGTCTAAGTTGAATGGCTAAATGCAGAAGAAGCACAGTTTGGAGTGGGTGTTCGCGTTACGGACAACGGGGAGCGGCTTTTTTTAGTTGTGTGCTAATCATCGTCTGCACATGGCCAGTACGAGATACCAGCACAAACGCTCAAATCTACTGACTTGGAAGTCACCAAACCCAGGACAGTCATGGACCAAGTTGGATCACGTGGCTATCAGTTACCGATGGACATCCTCTGTTAAAGACTGCCGTTCCGCCTACGTCACCTGTGGCGTACGCGTGACATCAGCTTAACCGTCAAGGGTCGAGTTTACAATGCTGCGGTGC